ACTGATGATTCCTAATTTCTAATCACTTTTTATTTTGTCTCTTAAAAACCAAAAACCGAAATTTTTTCTTGCTATAAAATATCTTTAGCGGTCAAATACGTATACACATTTTTGAAAAGAATTTTAGATAAAATCAAGTAAAGTAGACCTAAAACATTTATCCTGCTGTCTAGTCCAGATTAAGTTGAAGTTGTCGACAAGGTCACGGTTCACTAATGAAATAAGGCCCTTAATACTGTGCAAGCACTGAGACTAGATAATAACCCAAGTGTTTGTACCGTCACGCGATTGTCACCTTTCAAGCTTGATAATAAAACAATTAAACAGTATCACACATGGACATCGAAGTACAAACTGTAGGTAGGAGATCCTATTTAAGATAAGAAGTCATACATTGGTGATTAAATACCATGAAGAACCGTATAGATACGTAAATGAACGGCTTACACTAAATATTCCATGTCTTTCAATCCCAAAGTTCGAAAATTAATTTGTTGCGTTATTTTGAGTTGAGTTGTATATTTACAAAATAATTCTTAATTCAACGTGAAGTCTTCTCTCCGGTTATTTATATATACAGTTTGTACATTAAAACCACCATCACGTAACGCATCGAGATGGTGATGAAAATAACATGGTTCTTCTCTTCACGAAATGGTTCCTTTTGCTCGGCGTTCTACCTTGTTACTTTTCTGTTTTGTCATTTATGGAACACTTATCACAACATTAACTACAAAAAGTCAGTGTTTGTCTGAAAGGTAAAAGGTTTTCCATATGTCCAATCACGACGGATGAATGTCTTTACCTTATTACTTTTGGCTCTTGACACATTCTTTCTCAGTATACCATATACAATAGCCGTCATACTGTCCCTGTATCCACTTGTGGTGTTCGCCACGATGTTGAACATTCTTTGGTAAAACATCCTTGCTGAATACAAGAAAACCTACCTACATATCAACAAATTATTTATCTAAATTCTATTAAACGAGGCAATGTTTAATCAACAGAGATATTTTTACGGAGAGCCTTCAAGAAGTACAAGAATAAGTACACCACGCGTTTCAGAAAGGTAAGCGTCTTCTGCTTCATCGACAACAAACAACAGTAAATACTGGCGAATCCGAGTAAGAAATGCCACTTTCGCAAAAATGGTCACACCATTATCTATAAATATGGGCCAACTATAAATGCACCTTTTGTAACGACCCCTAATCTTTGGTGTTTACATGTAAACATTGATTCGATATCGAAGGGCCTGGTCCTATTATCATTTATTTTCGTGCGAACAGTCGTCAACTCACGGACAAACTCGTAACACAGTGTTTCAAAAGATGCAAGTTGATTAGAATCATGGGGAAGTTTTACAGCCAATATTATAATCTCATTGAGAAATATCTTATTTCCTTGAGTGATATGAAGCTGGACGTATTTGATGTTCGTTAGTATAATTGTTAATTCCTTTATTACAATACATATACCTTGTGCTCATTTGAGAAATTGACATCACCTACTTGGATTGACCATGGTTTTACATGGCGGGTGAATTAGAAGACGCTTACTCTTCAGGAGCACCCAATTTTATGGTCTTAGTGCTTTTTCGGTATCTGTGTAAAGCTTTCTTTTGTCAATATTTTGTCCTAATTTTATTGCATTTGAATTTTGATTATGATTGTGTTGACATGTTGGTGTTTTCGTATTTTTATTACATGCAGCACCCGCAACGTTGCGGCAAAAATCCTTGCCAAAACATGAAAAAGCACACCAAACAACTGTTTCATTAAATGGTGATTAACCGAGGGCAATATTTGAACATGAGGTATGTTCATGTTCCCTGAAAAAATCTCAATATATCACGCGTAAGAAATGTCAATTTTATAATGTGAACACGGTAGAATATAACGGAACTACAAGGTAAACCATCGTCATACACATTCTACTTCATATCGCACATTTATGTAGAGCGTTTTCCTAATGTGATCACTATGGCGACCGTAACACTTCTCCATAGTCTTTATTTACCTGATCTTTTCCAAATGTTGCGTTGTTATATGTCAATTGTTAACATCTTGTCTCATCCGCGATATCGAGAATACGCTCTCATCAAACTACCTTTAAATGAAGTTAGTATAGCAGGCATTTAAACGGGTTTATGAAGAACATAATAGGTTTAAATCATGGTTTAAAAACTAAAGTATCAAACAAAAAGTACTGGAAACTTGCAGGAAAACGTCAAAGCTAGAAACCCCAGTAATGTCGGTACTAGTGCCGAAGGTAGAAACCCCAGTAATGCTGGTACTAGTTCCGAAGGTAGAAACCCCAGTAATGTCGGTACTAGCGAGAAGCTAGAAACCCCAGTAAGTTCGGTACTAGCTTGAAACTAGAATCCCCAGTAATGCCGGTACTAGTGCCGAAGCTAGAAACCCCAGTGATGCCGGTACTAGTTCCGAAGGTAGAAACCCCAGTAATGTCGGTACTAGGGCAGAAGCTAGAAACCCCAGAAATGTCGGTACTAGTGCCGAGGCTAGAAACCCCAGTAATGCTGGTACTAGCGTGAAACTAGAAACCCCAGTAATGTCGGTACTAGTGCCGAAGGAAGTAACCACAGTAATGTCGGTACTAGTGCCGAAACTAGAAACCCCAGTAATGTCGGTACTAGTGCCGAAGGTAGAAACCCCAGTAATGTCGGTACTAGGGCAGAAGCTAGAAACCCCAGAAATGTCGGTACTAGTGCCGAGGCTAGAAACCCCAGTAATGCTGGTACTAGCGTGAAACTAGAAACCCCAGTAATGTCGGTACTAGTGCCGAAGGAAGTAACCACAGTAATGTCGGTACTAGTGCCGAAACTAGAAACCCCAGTAATGTCGGTACTAGTGCCGAAGGTAGAAACCCCAGTAATGCCGCTACTAGTGCCGAAGGTAGAAACCCCAGTAATGACGATACTAATGCCGAAGCTAGAAACCCCAGTAATGTCGGTACTAGCTTGAAACTAGAATCCCCAGTAATTTCGGTACTAGTGCCGAAGGTAGAAACCCCAGGTTATGTCGTTATTAGTGCCGAAGCTAGAAACCCCAGTAATGTCGGCACTAGTTCCGAAGGTAGAAACCCCAGTTATGTTGGTACTAGTTCCGAAGGTAGAAACCCCAGTAATGACGGTACTAGTTCCGAAGGTAGAAACCCCAGTAATGTCGGTACTAGTTCCGAAGGTAGAAACCTATGTAACGTCGGTACTAGTTCCGAAGGTAGAAACCCCAGTAATGTCGGCACTAGTGCCGAAAGTAGAAACCTATGTAATGTCGGTACTAGTGCCGAAGGTAGAAACCCCAGTAATGTCGGTACTAGTTCCGAAGGTAGAAACCTATGTAATGTCGGTACTATTTCCGAAGGTAGAAACCCCAGTAATGTCGGTACTAGTGCCGAAGGTAGAAACGCCGGTAATGTCGGTACTAGCGTGAAACTAGAAACCCCAGTAATGTCGGTACTAGTGCCGAAGGTAGAAACCTATGTAATGTCGGTACTAGTTCCGAAGGTAGAAACCTATGTAATGTCGGTACTAGTGCCGAAGGTAGAAACCCCAGTAATGTCGGTACTAGTGGCGAAGGTAGAAACCTATGTAATGTCGGTACTAGTTCCGAAGGTAGAAACCCCAGTAATGTCGGTACTTGTTCCGAAGGTAGAAACCCCATTAATGTCGGTACTAGTTCCGAAGGTAGAAACCCCGGTAATGTCGGTACTAGTTCCGAAGGTAGAAACCCCAGTAATGTCGCTGCTAGCGTGAAACTAGATGCACTGTAGTAAGTCATTGTATAGCACACCTTACAAGTTGTACACATTAAGAACAGACAATATATATTTAACTTAACATTTATTTAATAGCACAGGTTATATAACATTTAACATCGACAATGTTGTACCTGAAACATCATTGAAAGCAGTTTTATTTCTCACAATCTTATCTCGAGTCTGACAGCTGTTGAACAAACATTCTGCAATTATGTTTTCATCAAGTTTCTATTTCCAATTCTAAAAAGTCATATTGTCTTACTGAAAAAATGGAGGGATATTCATTTTCACCAATTGTGTTCTTTATTTGTAACCTGCACACCATGTTTATTTTCATTCGAATGATTGCACTGTTCTAAATATACACATAAAATTGTTCTAAAATTATATGAAAATTACAAACTTATTTAATTGTGCATGTGCATCTCCTAAACTATATTTTAACTTTCTCCGATCACTTCGGAATTTTCTCAGTCGCCTCCTAGCCTTTTTAATTTAGACCTGAATCATCCATGACAAAGTCCTGGTAGGACGAAACAACTGTATGATGCTCACAAAACCCCTTCATACTGCGATGTTAGTTTTAAGCTGATTATCAATTCGTAGACATACGAGTTCGTGGATTTATAGTTCCCATCAATCAAACGAAATTAAATTACCCACGAAAATTATTGATATTACAGGATAAAAAGTAGTTAATAAATAGTAATTTCTTCCATCACATATAGCGTGTGTTTCATCAAAGCTCCTGCAGCATAAAACATGTTTTACAAAAACAGTTGAATCATAATTATTTTCTGCATATATCGGCAGAAAATAGAGAACAAACAACGCTTAATCCACATGTACATGTGTTAAAGTCTATGGTCATAAAATGATCATATTTCTGCGTTTTCTCATTTGTACTTTGCTATTTTCAAACAAATACAATATAGCTTTCTCCTATTGGTGTTTGAAGCGTCAGTTAAATAGATCACGTGGATATTTACAATATACATGTAAGCCATGCACATGTGCAAGACGGTTAAAAAAATCAACTTATCTACTAAAATCTACCTTTCAAATTGACATTGTAAGAATCGGACGCCATATATATATATAATATCTACACTGAAGAAAACTTTAAGCTTGTAAAATAAAATAATGAAACATTGTGTATCTTATACATAAAAGCCTGACATAGTACGGATATACACAGCTTGCGATGGACGATGATGTTATACGAAAGTTTCCGTTCCGTGTTCTTCAATGTCAAGGTCTTCCTCGCTGATGTGACGGAGCGTGCCGTTACTTACTATGAGCGGAGTTCCTTGTCTAAGGGGTGCAGTGCGCAGCGATATCAACGACATGTTACGGTATGATGGATTCGTCGGCTTGTACTGGTACACTGGAACGAATTCGTTCCGCTTTTCTCTCTCTATAAAACATTCCCAAATATAGCCGAACAGTTCCTGTAAAATCGCAGTGTTTGCGTTTGCGGAAAGTTCTTTGAGGACATACACTCCGTCTTGTCGTAAATAGCGGTGAATGAATTTATAAGTCAATTTCTTTGAACACATCGAGGTACCATAAACTCCTTGCATTTTTAAATACTTTTTTATGAAACTTTCGTTGAAAGATGGGATGAGAAATATAGCAATGGTACAACACAAGTTAATAAGCGCTAATATAGAGACGCCAAGAAACCAAAACCACAAAGTCAAAAATATTTTTTCGTTATACAAATTGATAGGCAGCACACATTGTAGAGTATAACGTTGTACGTTACTTAGCTGGCGAAATTCCACATCACACAATGTGACCCGTGGGAACCTTGGTGACATTGTCCAGTCTTTACCCTGTAGGAAGGCTTGAATGACCTCATAGCCGTACACATAGAATTTATTACCAAGAAATTCATTCAAGAAGAAGAGCTGTCCAAACGCGTTAACAAAGTATAGGAATCGTATGAAAGTCATTAAACTAATATAAAAGGTTCCGAAATGTCTTCCACACCCCAAGGAACAATACTGACTTAGTCTTTCCCTAATAGGGGCATACAATCCTGATCTGTAACGATTGATTCCAGTACACCAAACATCCATATATGTAGCCATATTGCGCAGGCGCTTTTCTCTCTCTTCCGTGGTTTCATGTCGGAGATGCTTAGCAATGATGCAGAACTTTTTCAAATCGAGACCAGCCATTGCCGTTGCGTATCTCCATATGAAACGTGGGATATAGCAGAGCAAGGCCATCAAAAACAACGCTAAGGGCACCCATTGGTAATATGTGATGTCTATCGATTCATCTTTACGCGCCTGGTAGTTCGGAGGGATCGTTTTAGTAAAAGGAATGTAATATGTGTTGGATACCCAGCATACATTTTCTGTGTAGTAGACTTCATTGTCTGTGAATTCTGGTGGACACCAACAGTATATCGGTTCTCCCACGTATTCCTCAGTAACCACGTATATATTAAAAAACAATAGAAATATTATAGTGTAGTAACGAGATATCCGGTCGATGTAATTATCGTCAAATGCTTTCCGGTATCCAGGGTTGACAATCAGAGGTCCAAGGATGTAGTCCAAGCTGGAATGAATAATATCAAAATGTAATAACTAACTAACATAGCATAGTATACTGTTTATTACATTTTCATGTAATTGCGATAAATTGCAATACAATGTTGTAATAAAAATGAAGCTGCCAATCGTATGGTTTGGGATCATACCGTGAGCATTCTGTAATCTGGTTTTATACCAAAATATATTATAATAGATAACAAATATCAACCCTGACCTCCGACCTCGGTCGATATCGCTTATCTTCGCTGCTCCGTAAATTCTTATATCGATCAAGAAAAAGAGTCAAAATTGTACTTGTATAATAACACAAAATGTCTGTAGACTAACCGCGAAAATTAAATGTAGTGAATAAGACTTGAAATAATATGTATGATTATGCAGTATTCAGGGAAATTTTACGTTTGAAATTATATCTGGGGGTTACACGAGATAAAATACCAAGAAATGATTCATATCATACACTGAAGATTGTTATAATTATGCAAATAGTAACGATAGACATTTCTTCAGAATTTTACGTGTATATGTAAGGTTACAAAAATGTCTGTTTCTAGTATCAAGTGATGGGTCATGGCGATAATTTTCTCATCTACGGTTAGACGAAAGCGTTAAATAATTAGTCAAATCGCCATCACGGATTTCGTCCCACTGCAAGACCCAGTCATTTGCATTCTTTGCCTGATAACGGAAAGAGAAGATTTCGAAAGCTCCTATAAACATAGCAGATAGTATCAATGCCTTGTCAAGCTATTTTACCAACCATCATGTAAACTGCTTTTGTCGAAATAAAATTGGTGACGTCACAAGGAGATCACATGACCAAATGATGTTATAACCCTGCATTTTATATTGTATTCTCCAAGCATTACAACTGTAAACTACTAAACATACATTTTGTATGTGATAATCATTGGACGAAATTCCAGTTACGTATTTAGTACAAAAAAACCTTGTTAATGAGCTTTTATAGCTTCGTGGTCTTCAAATATCTCCATGTACTTGGTCCAAGCACTTCAGACATATCATAAAACATTGACATATATTTGTTTTTTTTATTTGATCTGACGTCTTTAGAATACTTAATGGCTTAAACAAACAGAATACTGTAATCAATAACTAACACTGTGGTCTTAATCAGGGTATGGTTTCGTTAGCAATCCATTAGAGTTGATTAAGGAAATACCAGGAGATGAGAATAACTCATCAGCATGCTTTGTAATTCTTTTGATTTTACAAAAGGTTGTTAAATGCACACGATCATGTGACAAGGTTTGTCTGGCTAATGATACGGTCATTGTTGTGTTATAGCTTAATGTTAAATATACTCGTATCATTGTTTAGTGCACGCAACAACCTCATAATATATCCCTAACCTGTTACTATACTGTAACTACAGTGTAACTACATTGTAACTACACTGTAACCACACGTTAACTACACTGTAACCACACATTAACTACACCGTAACTACTCCGTAACTACACTGTAACCACACGTTAAGTACACTGTACCACACATTAACTACACTGTAACCACACATTAACTACACCGTAACTACTCCGTAACTACACTGTAACCACACGTTAACTACACTGTACCACACATTAACTACACTGAAACTACTCTGTAACTACACTGTAACCACACATTAACTACACTGTAACTACACTGTAACCACACATTAACTACACTGTAATTACTCTATAACTGCACTGTAACCACACATTAACTACACTGTAACCACACATTAACTACACTGTAACCACATTGTAACTACACTCTAACTACTCTGTAACCACACTGTAACCACACTGTAACCACACTGTAACTGCACTGTAACTACACTGTAACCACACTGTAACCACACATTAACTACACTGTAACCACACATTAACTACACTGTAACCACACTGTAACTACACTGTAATCATACATTAACTACACTGTAATCATACATTAACTACACTGTAACCACACATTAACTACACTGTAACCACACTGTAACTACACTGTAACCACACTGTAACTACACTGTAACTACACTGTAACTACACTGTAATTATACATTAACTACACTGTAACCACACTGTAACTACACTGTAATCATACATTAACTACACTGTAACCACACTGTAACTACACTGTAACTACACTGTAACCACACAGTAACCACACAGTAACTGCACTGTAACCACACTGTAACTACACTGTAATCATACATTAACTACACTGTAACCACACTGTAACTACACTGTAACCACACTGTAACTACACTGTAATCATACATTAACTACACTGTAACCACACTGTAACTACACTGTAACCACACATTAACTACACTGTAACCACACTATAACTACACTGTAACTACACTGTAACTACACTGTAACCACACATTAACTACACTGTAACCACACTATAACTACACTGTAACCACACTATAACTACACTGTAACCACACTGTAACTACACTGTAACTACACTGTAATCATACATTAACTACACTGTAACCACACTGTAACTACACTGTAATCATACATTAACTACACTGTAACCACACTATAACTACACTGTAACCACACTGTAACTACACTGTAACCACACATTAACTACACTGTAACCACACTATAACTACACTGTAACCACACTATAACTACACTGTAACTACACTGTAACCACACATTAACTACACTGTAACCACACTATAACTACACTGTAACCACACATTAACTACACTGTAACCACACTATAACTACACTGTAACTACACTGTAACCACACAGTAACTGCACTGTAACCACACTGTAACTACACTGTAACCACACATTAACTACACTGTAACCACACTATAACTACACTGTAACTACACATTAACTACACTGTAACCACACTATAACTACACTGTAACTACACTGTAACCACACATTAACTACACTGTAACCACACTATAACTACACTGTAACCACACTATAACTACACTGTAACTACACTGTAACCACACATTCTCTGTAACTACACTGTAACCACACATTAACTACACTGTAACCACACTATAACTACACTGTAACCACACATTAACTACACTGTAACTACACTGTAACCACACATTAACTACACTGTAACCACACTGTAACTACACTGTAACCACACATTAACTACACTGTAACCACACTATAACTACACTGTAACTACACTGTAACCACACATTAACTACACTGTAACCACACTATAACTACACTGTAACCACACATTAACTACACTGTAACCACACTATAACTACACTGTAACTACACTGTAACCACACAGTAACTGCACTGTAACCACACTGTAACTACACTGTAACCACACATTAACTACACTGTAACCACACATTAACTACACTGTAACTACACTGTAACCACACATTAACTACACTGTAACCACACTATAACTACACTGTAACTACACTGTAACCACACTTTAACTTCACGGTAACTACAAATGTACTATGTAGCCACAGTGTAACTTTGACTTAAAATAATGATGATAATCAGTCAAAGTTGTGAACCAAGAATTTATTATTGAGTTTACTTCTATATTTCAGCTAGCAGAGAAAGCCATGTACAAAATATATGGTTGCACGAAATGTCATTTAAGCCCAAAGCAGTTCATTGCATTAAGAATTAATCTGTACCAATATTTTACAATTATCTAGAGCAGATTCAATAACTCTCTTGACCTAAGCAATTTCATGAACATGTATTGTTAAAAAATATCTTAACAATGTTTCGATTCTTTAAGTAGACATAACTACTGATATCTCAGACAGCGTCAGAAAGAAATACGAATCCATTAGGAGGGAAATATGGTTAACATTTTTGCTTTGGTTGGTAAAGTGGGAGTATTTATACAAACGAGCAGGGTGTTGGCCCTTATGAAGAAACATGGCGGACTGACTGACCCGTGGTATCAGGGGTATCAGTTAACATTGCACTCAGCTGGTAACCCATCCAACTATGAGAGCACCTTCACATCAACGAACGTTATACAATTATATTGGCCAGAGACATCCGATAAAAACGATATAAAAGCTGAATAATACATTTGAAACTAGTTTAGAGAGGTAAGAGTATTTCAGACGATATGTAAACTGAATACTTATATCTGACGCCAGTTAGTGAGAAGAGGGCAAAAGTGTCAGTATTCTAGCTGTATTTTTGTGCATTGTATTGTGTTACGTAGACTTTGTAACTGTTCTTTTATCACCTACCCCAGCCACAGAACCGATGTGATGTCACATCAGAGCAATACAATACACACAACATGCATTTTACGACATTAGGTAAACGTGTAAGCATTTATATGCTCATGAATGTGTATTCAACCTGTCCGATTGATACACCGTCACAAGTGGAGCCCTCGTCTTATCCCAGAATAGACCTATCAATTAATAGATTATTTTTACTATTCTGTTTACTCATGGTAATGAACTACTCAAAGTGAAGTAAGATTGTATGCTATTCAGTAATACTCTGCAGCGTTTGCTTTGAGTAATTCATGATTTTGTGCGAAAAGCAAAAAATAGGTATGTTCTGTTATAGAACCCACCATGGTTTATAAAATACACGTGTGTAATATTTCATACCCATTTCGATGTCATATTTGCTTGTTTAACAGTCTCAGAATGCTTTTTTCAAATGCTTTTAATATCAGCAGTGATATTCGAAATATTAATTCTAAAAATATCGTTCGTTGTGAAAAAAATGAGAACAGATTTGTGAAAATGGTTTTGTAAAGAATTCTTTTTGTGTCGTTGACATTTCTCGAACACTAAGATTCGTCATGCAGTATTATAAACAGAATGTACAATACACTTCAGTGGACGGATATCGTTTGAAGCAGTTTGTATACAGCGTATTAAATTACCATGAAAATGGTTAACGACACAAAAACATGTTTGCTTCATCTGAAAATTACAACCAGGACAAAAGGCCGTATAGGTCTCTCTACCAGGGAATACAACATATTTGTACAAAAATATATCAACGGCTTCAATATTAATGGTGAAATCGTTAAAGTTATCTGTTTTACTCGTATGATATGGAATTCAATTAATGAAAATCATTAATAAACAGAAAATTAATTAAACATGAAAAACAGTCTTTTTTGTTAGTAATATAAACATCATTCTACTATAAAGTGTAGTGTCATTGGCGTCTATCAGAATTTTCTTGGGTATCCAATGTCCTAAATTTGATACACATCAAACTTGTCACATTGAAAACATTGTTATTGATAGCCCTTAGTCTTAGTTAGTCTCACCCAAATACTTACAATGTTACAACAGGCATGGCTGACCCGCGTTTTTACTGGTCAAGGTGTAATGGTCAGTATCTAATCAGGAGGCTGAACACGTTGACCAACGTCCATGTTTTCAAAGTGTGTTAATCCTGTATTCCGCCATGTTTTAATTGATCCGCGATTTGGCCAAGGTTTGGTCCAATGAGAAACGGATGCCGCTTGGTTAGAGAAGTATACAGGTGTGTGTATATATATATACGTACGTAGAAGCCTCCCTACGGTGCCCTATACACGCCAGTGCACAACTTTAAATCGTACACGCTTTTTAGCTGTTGAAATATCTTGTGATTGGTTTATAAGTCTAGGTACGCTTATATTTTTAACTGTATATATATCGTGTAAAATTTGTTTTACCTTAAGATAATGTTATTGTCGTATAAGAAACCTAGAATGGGGTTGTTTAACAGATATCACCTGGATACGATAAATATTGAGACTAGAATATTTATCCCACACATTACGCCGATTGTTGTTAAAACTTCTATAAAATAATATACAAATATAACAAACAACTAGCAATACCATGCGAATAAAACAGAAAAACGTGCGAAAAGCTTTTGTCTTCCGTCTTTGGTTCTTCAGATATGATAGAAAATAAGGGTAGATAGTCGAGAAATGTTTTCTATCAGGCATGGTACAAAACGTAAATCGAAAGCTACACTTTGTCAATAATGTTAACAATTTACAATTTAGGGCAATAATTTAAAAGAAAAAAAAAATTATTAACCAGGCCGTGCAGCTACCTAACAAACAAATTATGAATAAACAAATCTTATTATCTATATGTAACTTGTCTCAATCCTCAAATGCAATACTACAAGTGTAGGGGGCTTAATGTTCAGTACAGGTGTGATATAGGTTGATCTAGAAATAACAACAGCATTGTCAACATAAAGGCACAAATGTTTATATCTTCTTAAAGAATAATCTCTAGAAAGCACACTGTGTAGACTGTGTTATATACGTCTCTGACTTTATTTATTAAACATCTCTGCCTTTCTGAATTCAGTTATATATCCATGATGCGCTTAAGTCCCAAATTACCGATACTGTAGAGGTGTCGAGGTTTACTTTTAACAGAAACCAAGTCATATGAAGACATTATCCACGGCTTTAGGATACGAAAAGGTGAGTTAGGTTGACAACATAAGTTACTGTTATCAGTTTGTTTTTTGTATAATTCAGAATACTTTATACTGGGGTTTGAACACGGGATATTCCTGGATATGGCAGACTAGTAAAACGGTGAGAGGAAACGCCACCTGACATATAAAGAAGGTATTTGTAGGTAGAAAAATGATATGTGGATCCCATTTAATGTTATCAATGATATAATTGTCGATTCTTTTGCCTATTAAAAGATATGAAATAGAAACCTAGAAGGTTGTATAAAGACATTTCCACATCACCATCTGTGTGTCTGTGTGGACTTTGAGTACGTCACGTCTATTGACTAGCGGTATAATTCTAATGTCTCACGGAACGACTGTCTCAGATTTGCCATGTGTACCTCCGTACTTTGATATCACAATATCTATATAACCTTAAATATAGCTACGCTGTACGCTCGATAGGCCTATATCTGTGGGAGTTTATAATTGAAGATAATTAACTGACTAATCTTAAATTAACACATTAATGCGTGACTGTTTCAACAGTCAATGGCATAGAAATTCGGCCTCTGCATTAATTATCATGTTGTGTTAATACAATACCATCCATTCAGTTGAATCAACAACGACTGGTTTAGAATTGAAATATTTCTTCACCATTTAATTTTTTATTAACTCCACGCCCGCGGTTCTTCTGTCGGCTACCGCTAACCAGGTGACAGAGAGATAGCCCGAGGGACACAATAAGAATCTATACCAGTCTCGTGATTTAACTACCATTAGCACAGACGTAATCGATAATAGTGAGTCATTAATTAATTACATGCTTATAGAAATATCTTAAATATGATTTTAGTTCTGGATATTGGTAAATGAGGTGTTGGATCAGCAAGGTGTCAAACAAAGGCTTGTATTGCAGAGTCCGGCATTCTTATGTCAGTGTCGTGTAAATCAACTGTTTTAGTAACGGTTGACATATACTGTTGTTGACATCTGATGAAGATGATACATTGATTTATCAACCATTGGCATGTAATATAAAGGTGAAATAATTCTATTATTAGTCGTAAACTCAATAAAATATCAAATATTTCATCAACTCAATGCTTTACCACTAATAAACAATAGGAATAATATGTTTACACATTTTTAAATTAAAAGAAAATCACCATACCTGCGATAGTGAATATTTTTTAATGTTTTATATCAGATGGGAGATGTTTCATTAATTATATATACATGTATGTTGAACCCTTATTTCACTTCATTTGCCCTATTTTGATTTTATTTTCCTTTTTGATTTCATAGTACAGACATTTCTGAAAATAGGTTTTTCTCCTTTTTTATGTTTACATTTCTCCCGTGGCTTTGTTCTATATTCATGCCTAATTCCATTACATTGCATTGTGGGAGGAACATATTCCAGTCAGTATAAGGTAACAGTCAGTTTTACATATACGTGAAGACATTTTGTTCCTTTTAAGTGTTTTTCTTTTGATTTTTCCACGAGGAAGTCATAAGATTAATGTCTCAATAATATTCAGGAGATTGGGCAGCTCTAACATACAATATCGAACATTGGATTAGTTTTATATAGTTTAACGTCTTTTCAACAGCTAAGGTCATTTATATGCGAGATGAGTGAATGGGATAGGCTTCTATGACATGCTTGTAAGCCTCCTTGTGATAATGTGGAACTGAAGTCGGCTTCCTATTGCTACAACACTGACATCATAACACTGATGGTCTTCAGGGGAACGCTGTCACATTATACTGAAAATGGGTAAGACAACCACAATACTTAGCGGTAAGTAATAACAGGGACATATAATACAGTATTATACGTTCCTGGTAATAACTACCACTTTTATAGACACTGGTATGTCTTACCTTTCATAGACACTGGTATGTCTTCACTTTCATAGACACTGGTATGTCTTCACTTTTATAGACACTGGTATGTCTTCACTTTTATAGACACTGGTATGTCTTCACTTATATAGACACTGGTATGTCTTCACTTTTATAGACACTGGTATGTCTTCACTTTTATAGACACTGGTATGTCTTCACTTATATAGACACTTATGTCTTCACTTTCATAGACACTGGTATGTCTTCACTTTTATAGACACTGGTATGTCTTCACTTATATAGACACTGGTATGTCTTCACTTTCATAGACACTGGTATGTCTTCACTTTTATAGACACTGGTATGTCTTCACTTTCATAGACACTGGTATGTCTTCACTTTTATAGACACTGGTATGTCTTCACTTTTATAGACACTGGTATGTCTTCACTTTTATAGACACTGGTATGTCTTCACTTTCGTAGACAATGGTATGTCTTCACTTTTATAGACAGTGATATGTCTTCACTTTTATAGACACTGGTATGTCTTCACTTATATAGACACTCGTATGTCTTCACTTTTATAGACACTCGTATGTCTTCACTTTCATAGACACTGGTATGTCTTCACTTTCATAGACACTGGTATGTCTTCACTTTCATAGACACTGGTATGTCTTCACTTATATAGACATTGGTATGTCTTCACTTTTATAGACACTGGCATGTCTTCACTTTTATAGACACTGGTATGTCTTCACTTTTATAGACACTGGTATGTCTTCACTTTTATAGACAGTGATATGTCTTCACTTTATAGACACTGGTATGTCTTCACTTTTATAGACAGTGATATGTCTTCACTTTTATAGACACTGGTATGTCTTCACTTTTATAGACACTGGTATGTCTTCACTTTTATAGACACTGGTATGTCTTCACTTTTATAGACACTGGTATGTCTTCACTTTTATAGACACTGGTATGTCTTCACTTTTATAGACACTGGTATGTCTTCACTTTTATAGTCACTGGTATGTCTTCACTTTTATAGACACTGGTATGTCTTCACTTTTATAGACACTGGTATGTCTTCACTTTTATAGACACTGGTATGTCTTCACTTTTATAGACACTGGTATGTCTTCACTTTTATAGACACTGGTATGTCTTCACTTTTATAGACACTGGTATGTCTTCACTTTTATAGACACTGGTATGTCTTCACTTTTATAGACAGTGATATGTCTTCACTTTTATAGACACTGGTATGTCTTCACTTTTATAGACACTGGTATGTCTTCACTTATATAGACACTGGTATGTCTTCACTTTTATAGACACTGGTATGTCTTCACTTTTATAGACACTGGTATGTCTTCACTTTTATAGACACTGGTATGTCTTCACTTTTATAGACACTCGTATGTCTTCACTTTTATAGACACTGGTATGTCTTCACTTTTATAGACACTAGTATGTCTTCACTTTTATAGACACTGGTATGTCTTCACTTTTATAGACACTGGTATGTCTTCACTTTTATAGACACTGGTATGTCTTCACTTTTATAGACACTGATATATCTTGGATTTGGAGACAGGATCCACCACCCTCCTGTGTTAGAAGGGCGATTGCTCATAAAATGGCTAAATATCAGTTGGGAAACATCAGGAAGGGGATGGAAGAAACTTCTTATTTTGAAACTGTATACTTTCGTTTTTTTAAAATCGTGTACCATACGATATCTCAGCAATGCAAATATGTTTTCCACAACATAACATACAGGTTCATCATTAACAAATTTTACCAGTTAAATATTTTGTATTTTAAAAAATCGCTTTCAAAAATTAATCTTTTCCTTCAATATGATTTTACCAAATCTTTATCGAGCTTTAATGTACAAGAAAGCGAGCCTGAGACGTGCTGAATGCAAAGACACGATGAATGTAAACAAATAATCCAAGCATTTAGAGGAAAAACGAAACATGAATCTCTACCATAGCGTAAAGCGTTACTGAC